TATGGCCTTCAAACGGCCAATGAAACGTCATACGCTGCCCGAATATTGTTCTGCGGTATTTTGGCCCATTCCCGGCGAAGCGCTTGCTTGAGGTGATCGACACTTTGGTATTTTATAGTTTGCTTTCCAAAATACTCCAGACACACTAGTCCAACGGATTGTTATCCGGAGATTTTGGTGGCCATTGTTTCTGTTGCGACGTAAGTTCTTGCACTTTTTGCAATTTCAATGGCTGATTTTTCAAGATTTGGCGAATTGAATATTGCGATATGTACAGCTCACGAGCCATTTTTCGGCCACTGCGACGCGGGTTTCGATCAAGTCGCTTCTTTACTTTTCGAACCATTTCTGCTGATGTTACTGTTTTCTTCCTTGACGTCGGGCTACGCTACCAGTATCACGGTATCGAGGGATGGTAAGAGTCAAAAAAGATTTATTCACATTTAAATGCTGGAGTGCTCTAACGATAGCCACTTGTGGTTTTCCAGCCAAATATAAAGAAATTACACTATCATGCTTGAATTCCATCACGAATGACTTTTTTTCTGGAAAATTCTCACCAAAATACTTTTGTACGCTTATAAACAATATAATGAGCTTTCACTGAAATAATTTTAACTGCTGTCGGATGAGTGGCTTATAAATGGCAGCAGTCTGAAGTTGGTTGAAATTTTTTTATCTCACCCTGTATATAGCTGTATATACAAAGGAAATTGATGTTAGTTAGAATTCTTATATCTCAAGAATTGCTGGACCGATTTTGTCATTTCAGAATGCCCTATTGGCATTCTGATTTTGTTGACGAATATAGCCAAATATCGAAGACAAGCAAATCATATAGATGAGTCTATATTTGGAGATACAGAGGAGCGTCTTGCATTTGCAGATGATCACAAAATATTTAGGGGTTCAATGAACCAAAAACGGAAATTTTTTTTCCTGATGACACAATTAAAACAAATCGACGAGGTATTTTGCCGGAGAAGAAAGTTAAGGACAGGGAAGAAGTCTAGCATGTTGGATGACCATAGGATCATATCTAGCTGTAAAATGGACCACAACAACTAAATATTGGAAAATGTCCCTGGTCAAAAAGCTAAGGGTAATATCTGGGCAGTGACATAATTTCAAAAGCAAAATCTTCCAAAATGGATTTGGACATAAGGGGACTTCTACCATATTATAGTGTTGTAGGGTATCACACGGTCGGCCCCGCACAACTTTAGCCTTTGCTAAATTGTTTTATTTATTTGTTTTTTTTTAATTTTTGAGTTTCCCCTTCCTCCTCAAATAATTTTCAAATTTACAATTTATTTATCAGAGAATATAAACTCATTGAAGACATTTTCCAGTATATGCTTATTCCGCTATATAAATCTAGCGTCATACATATTTGGTATTTAAAAAATGCCAACGGCGTAACACGATTAGAGCTTTGTTTTTTTAGGATTATTAAATTGTAATCGAAGTAGCTGTGAAATCATAAAGCATCTAGCGGGATTATTTGCATTTCAGTGTTTTGAAATTTGGCGATTGCCTCCAATAGCTAAATTGAAATGGCTTTAAAACAGAATACTTCATTGGGCCCGGTTAGGTTGAGTAAACAACGGGTTATCGGATATGAAAGTGCCCATGTCTGTTTTTCAAGGAAGTTGTGTGAACTGACAACAAACCTAATTATAAATCTGATATTGCTTTGCTCCGTATATCTTCACAGAATTTTACAGTCTGAGAGTCACAGTATACATAATTCTATTGCGATTATTACCAGTGTTGCCGTTTTGGGCGTTTCCGTCCAAATTTGGGCGGAAAAAAGATACATTTTGTGGTTTGGGCGGATTTTGGGCGGTTTTTTCCATATTGGGTACAAATTTATTTTTCATTGTTTATTTTTACGTAGTTTCTTTTTTTTATTACTAACTGAATTTTATATTTTTTTATTGAGATGAATCGTTATTTATTTTATAGATTTTTGTTAAGTTTTTTAATAATATATATAATACATTAGGCTATAGTCGTACGGGGCCGACCATGTGATACCCTACAACACTACAATATGTTAGAAGCCCCTTTTTGTTCAAATCTATTTTGGAAGATTTCATTCTTAAAAAATTATATCACGGAGCACTGCCCAGGTATTACCCTTAGCATTTTGACCAGGGACATTTGCCCAATATTTACACACTCCGTCGTGCTGTTAGTTATTATGGTCCATTTTACAGCTAAATATAATCCAATGATCATCCAAAGTCCTAGAATTCTTCCCTGTCCTTAACTCTCATCTCAGGCGTGTCGATTGGATTTAATTGTGTGATCAGACAATTTTTCCGGTTTTTGGTTCATTTGTACCCCTAAATATTTTGCTATCATCTTCAAAAGCAACAGGACCCTCAGTGTCTCCAAATTTAGTCTCATCTATATGATTTGCTTGTTTGCGATAGATATATTCGTCAACGAAATCGGCATAAAAAAGACAGATGTTCGCTTTTGTGTATATCGGATATCGCCTATAAGTAATACTGATATTTCTTCACGCAGAAGTAGTGGTCCATTCTACCCGCTGTCCTAAACTCTCACTTCATGCGAGATTTCGTGTCCTTTGGTTTCTATTTGTGACCTTTATAAATTGTGACCTGCAAAATCAAGAACATTTTTAGTTGTATTTAAATATATTGCGCACATTTTTGAAAACAATAGGCCTAGCCCTTCTGAGGCTAACCCTACCGTTGTGAAAATTTTCGTGAGGATCGGACGATAATTGCAATCTGTGTATAATAACCCCAACCTGTGTTGTAAGGTGAAAAAATATTACAAAATGTACACTTAAATATTATAAGACAAATTGAAAAAATTGAATGCGATAAAAAATATGAAAAACATAAAAAATGTCACAAAATACTACAAAATCTATATTAATATCATTGTTGGCATCTTTTTATGCGATTTTTTTTTAGATTTTATTCTTTTATTCCAAGAGGGCATTATTCATTGACAAAATTTGTCAAAATCGGTCAAGCCATTCTTGAGATATAAGCATTCTAGCTAACATCCCCTTTCCATTATATTTATACATTGTATATATCTCGCTATATATATCCGATATATTTACTATGGGCATCTACGTAACGGTCAGAACTGACCTATTCGTCCATTTGTGATTTCGAAGGGATTAAAAATATTCGCGGTGTAAGGGAAAATTTGACTTTTATTTAACACAAATCTTTATGGTCTATTTCAGCCACTAAATATTACCCGATGACCATCAAAATTGGAAGGCTTCTGCCCAGCCCTAAGCTCCCCAATGCTAACTTCCGCGTCGATTGCTCTATAATTGCGACCTGTAGAGCAACTGTAAAATCAGGAAAATTTTCAGTTTTTTATCCATTTCAGCCCCTAAATACTATGCGATTATCTCCAAAGAATAGGGTTCTTTTCTTACCTTATCCCCACCTCCATTTTCAATTTCGTGATGATCGAGCCATAATTGCGACCTGTGGAGTGATTACAAATTAACATTAACAGATGGACGGACGAACGGACATACATAACTAGATCGACTCAGCTCGGCAAGATAGGAAGATCCATATATACCTTTCTATGTGGGAAACCAATATTTCGAGGTGTTACATAATTTTTGTCCCAGTCAAACTTATAAAACCCCCAACACATAGTCTCGTAGGGTATAATAAAAAATCCTCTATTGCTTTTCTCCGTATATCTTCATAAAATTGTACAGTTTAAGAGTCACAAAAGTGTACAGTTTGAGAGACACATACAAAATTCTACTGCGATTATCACTTTTGTAGAATTTGTAAATATGTCTCTTTCTTCACATTTAACTTTACTTGGAGAGTTTTCGATCCTAATTTATGTAGCTTCAATTCCTCATCTCTTTTCACACTCATGGCGAATCTGCCAGTACTGAATTTCGATTTGAAAATCGAAGCATTTTTTCAAATATTTGGTTTTCTATATTTTTTAAATTAAATTAATCATCCTTTAAAATCCACCCATATTTCACTAACATTTTCACCTTTTCAAAACTACCCAATAAAATTCAATTTCAAAAAATTCCCATGCCATATTCACAAGCCGTCGGACTTTTGCAAATGAGAACACACAACAAATTTTTTGGTTTTATAGGTTTTTTTATGTATTTTGAATATTTCTTTCAAATTCTTTCTTTTTTCTTATTTTTTCCACTTTGTCTTTTCTATGGTTGTAAACAAACTTATAAATATGTAATTAAATTTAATTTATTCTAATTTTTTTTTTATTATTTATGCCAAAACGACTGACTAATCTAAAAGTTGATAATTTGTTAAATATTTACAATTGAATGATTAATCAAAGAAAATGAAAATCATCTAATAAAAGTTAATTATAATACTGGGTTTGATTTGGGTGAGTTTAGACAACAAATTGAAAGCGATCAAAGGGAAGGAAGTCCAAAAAAAGAGATTTTCTATTAAAATTTCAAAATTTTAGTAGGACGCACAGCATTGGGCTTCTGACATTTTTTCTCTTTTTTTTTTTGGGAGAAAATATTTCTTTTTGATATTCTGGGACTCCTTTTTTCCTTTAACTGCCTCATTTGTTGATGCCCAGTTTTTTTAAGTTTTTTCTTCACTTATTTACATTTTTTTCTTTATGCTGTACATTTTTTTGTTTAAATAATATTATTATAATTTCCACTAATTTCACAAATTAAATAATTAAATCATTTGAATATAGGGTAGCTAATCTTAAAAATGTATTATCACAAGTCAAACTGAACAAAAATTAAATAATAAAACTGAGATTGTTTCAAACGCAACGCCCGGCGCGCACTGACACAATGGTCCTCTCCGCATTATGCCCGTGGAGGACGGCTGGCTTACGTGGAGGAGTCTGGCAGCACGCTTTCCCTTGGTCACTCACTACACTTGGGGTTTTTTTTTAAATAAGGAACTTGGATTCGGATGTTGTGACACAAGAAAAGAAAAACTATCATCAAAAACAACGCCACTTGTGGTCATACGGCGCTTCGATGAGTTTTCTTCTTGGTTTTTTTTCTTTCTTTCTTTGTATGGAAAAGGTACTCTGAATACGACGGCAATAACAATTGGGGATTTCCATGACAATTTTGATCCCTTTTTCTGTGGTGTCGATATTTTTTTAATGGCTGGCATCCAATTCATGTTCATCATCCGATGGACAGTCATCCATTTCCATGTCGATGAGTTCATCATCTTCCTCGTCACAGCTGCCGTCCTTGCGATCGGAACCTTCTTTGCCATCCTCCTGCTGCATGCGTTTATGTTTGGTGCGTCGATTTTGGAACCATACTTTCACCTGGGTCTCCGAGAGATTTAGCGATTGGGCCAATTGTTTGCGTTCAGCACCCACAACATATTGATTGTTCTCGAAGGCATGTTCCAGTTTCAACAGCTGGGAGGGTGAGAAGGCGGTGCGTATGCGTTTGGGTTTGCGGAAAGGTTGCAAAAGGAAATCTAAAAAGAAAACGGAAAAAGAGAGGGGAAAAGTTAGTATTGTTTGGATAATTTTTTTTTTCAATATTTTTTGAAATTGTTAAATTTTGAAAAGTTTTGAAAAAAAATTCAAAATGAAGATCTCTACTTACTTCCTGGAAAACGATGAGGGAAAATCCTTCCATGTCTGCTCAGCAGCCAGGGATACAGGGGATAACTATCCCTGGGCATGCCAGGGCCAGCCATAAATGGCCCAGCATGGGGAGGTAATCCAGCGGCAGCTGCCGCCGCTGCAGCGGGGCCCAAAACATGACCCGCCTGCAGGGCCATCTGGAATTGGGCAGCAGCAATCAAATGAGGATTGTGTTGGGGCGGCAATTCTGGTGGAGCATTGATATAGGGTGGCAGGGCCTTGATATCAGGCATTCCTTGTTGAGGTGGTGGTGGTGGAGGGGCCGGTCCCATGGGGAAGGGCCTGACAATGTTGGCCGGTGGCATACCAGGTACAAGAATAGGTGTCAAACCTCCAGCATTTGGTGGCTTGCCATAGTGTTGCGGGGTGGCTGGACTGCTGCTCAAATTACTGCTGGGTGGTGGTGAGGGATGGGATTGCGGCGACACAGATTTGGGAGGAGTATGTGGTGGCTGATGTCTTTGGGCCGGATTCTGCAATTGCTCCTGGCCCCTATCCGGTGATCGTTCACGTTTCAAGTTGGGCAGGTGGATTTGTTGATGAGAACTGGAATTGGAGGAGGTCTCCACATCGGGTGAGAGACGTGTATGGGGAGGTGGTGGACTGTAGGTGGAATTGCTGGCATTGCTGGAATTCAAATGGACTGCCGCTGCGGAATTGTGTAGCCTTTGAATGATATCCGTGATTTCAGCTTTGGCGGCATTTTGTTGATGTTGCTGGTGTTGCATCAACAAATGCTGATGCAAAGCCTGCTGTTGGGCCATGGACAAGTGATGGGGAGCCATGTGATGAGGATGACCAGGATGTCCTGGCATCAAATGGGCATGGGGTGGCAAGTTGGTCATGGCTGGTGGGGTCTGAGGTGGCGATGATGGGTTGTTGTTGTGGTTCACACTGTTATTATCCTCATGGGCTGGGGATCGCACATCGCCGACGGTAGTTGTGTTGCTCGATTGGGTATTGGCATCATTGCCAACGATCGACTCAATGCTGAAGCCGATCTTTTGCTTTGGCGTGGGCATCATGACGGCTGATGTGGGTACCGGCGGAATCATTTTAGTCATAAATGCTTGGGATGGAATAACGTGGGCCGCCGTTTTTAGGGCTTTTACGTTTCAAAAACTTTTGAATTTTAGATCTTTTCCGATTTTATATTTTCAATATTTTTTAGTAAATCCGTTTGTGGGGTTTTGTTTCAAATTTTTTGTTAAATATTCTCGACTTAGTCTATTTTCTAAGCTTTGCACTTTTAATCCAAGAGGAAAACACTTTGTTTTTGTTTCTTCTTTATTTTGTATATATTTCCACTTGTTTGTGTTTTTCTTCTTCTCTTATTCCGTTTCTTTGAATATCTTCTTTTCTTTTGAAAATCTTTCTTTTTTTTGGTTTCTTTTTTTGTTAATTTCACGGACGTTTTTGTTAATGCGTGTGTTAACTCAACGACAAACGATGTCAGAATAATCTTGGAATGCTCAAACTCACACTAAGTATCCGCAGTGGGAATTTTACCTTGCTCTCAGCTGCCACAATAATTTACTCTCTGCATACACACAAGCAACACCAAATTTCCAACCGGTTTTCTATTGTTTCATTTGTTCAAAGACCTCATTTACACATGCCATCTCTCTCGCTCTTATAACAACGGAAAGAGCAACCCTCTTCCATGTGGATTATAGGACAAAAACAAAACAAGCAACTCACACACAAGAGAGAAAGAGATCCACATTCCCATAATTAATTCGCTCTCTCTCGTACATATGGCAACGGTATTTTCTCTACTCAATTAACAGACTAATATGTCTTCGGTGTTTTTTGTTGTTGCTCCCTGAGTATGGTGGTTGCTCAAACAACTGAATATCGTTGTTGTTGCTATTGTTGTGTTGTATTGCTGTGTGTGTCTTTCATATGGTTTCTCTTGTTCTCCGAAGGGGCGTTACTACTTTTAATAGTTACATTTTACGCTCGTTAAGAGCTGTTATTATTATTAGTGAATACCCTCTGCTGCTGCTGATGATGTTTTTCCGTTGTTGTTTTTGTCGTTAATAATATTGTTGTGGTTTTTGTAGTTGGTGTTGTTGTAACTTTTGCATATGGCTTCCGATAAATGGTGTGGTATGTATGGTGTTGTTGTTAGACGTGTTTGTAGTAAAGAGTAAAGGGAAAAAAAAGTGGCATAGAGCAGCAAGTAATTGGTTGGTTGGATGGTTCATTCGTGCCTAAATAAACAAAAGCAGCAACAACAAGAACACACCATCACCAAAGCAAACATCCAGCCAGCCAGCCAACCAACCATTCATGGGTTAGTTGTCGTCATTTAGATCAATAAGTAAATTAACGAGTTTCATTATCTTTGCTTATACAAAAATGTTGTCTCCCAGCGCAACGAATGTGTGTTTTTGCAAAAGATGCCCTTAAGAAAAACGACAAAGAAAAATTAATGGAGGAGGAAGAACTCTTCCACAAAAAGAGCATAACACCAAAAAATAATGCACCAAAGGCAAACCATTAGATGATGGAGCAATACTTTGCTGCTTCTTCTCCTTCATTCTTTGATTACAGCAGCTGCTGTGCTGCCACCGCAGCAGCCATTGTTGTTTACTTGGAATTTATGTTAGCAGCTCTCTTTCTGCCCCACACTACCATGGAATATTGTATTTAATTAGTGTACATTTTCCTTTTTTTCTTTTTGATGTCTTCACTTAATTAAATGTGTGGTAGTTGCAAACAACAACAGCAGCAACCGAATTAGTCACCAAAAAGTTTCCAATTAAAGGATAATCAGACAAATACGCAGACCACAATAGTCCTCATTATATTGTATATATATTTTATTTTATTTCCTTCTTAAATGTGATAAATTTCATTGGCAAATGTTTATTTTGCTGTCTTCATATGTTGGGTAAAATAAATGTGGAATTGCTTTCCATTAAGGAAGATGATTTCTCAACTGGCGCACATTATAGGTATTTGAATTTAAAAATGATATGACCAATTTTTAGAAAAAAACTTTTTGTTTTCTAATTAAATAAGAAGAAATATCTGTGATTGGAATTAGGTCAATGAAAAAATAAAAACGATGAGAAAATAATAAAAAAATAGGTCAAAACCATTTTAGATACCTATATCAGAAAAATATTCATACCAAAGTTTCATCAAGGAAATTGGGAAATGGTTTAAACATATAGGCATATAGTCATGAAGGGTCAGATAACGAAGGGTCAAATTAATAACAAATTGATAGGCAAAAATATTTTACTTTTACTTCCAACCGATGCCAAATAAATAGTAATAAATTCAACATATTTTTTGCCGCTTTCTAATAGTCGGTTTGACATGTTCCTATAGTAGTTGTATTTATTGTTTATTTAATAATACTGATTACTTGTGACGAGTTCAAACTAAATAGTTAAATAAAAAAAATCCCCGCTGTGTTAAAGATATTAAATCTCCGTCGACCTTAGAAACACTGTTATTTTATGGTCAGAAAGTCAGCGATACACAGTTTTCCTAAAAGTGGCCAAAACCAGCAAAATCATTTTATCTGTTATTTAATAATGTTGAAGATTATTTTTCCTATTTTTTAGTTATAATTTCTAAAATCTAAATCTAAAATTTTGATGGCCAACCGAAGGTGCACATTTTAAGCTGAACTCTGTGGCGAGTAAACACGATCATTTTGTTTGTTGACAAACTGCTGGACAACGAATGTTTTCTCATCGGAGAAAACCAAATTCGGCAGTTCTCTACTTTCGGCCAAGCGAAGCAACTCTTTAGCTCTTTTAAGTCTATTTTCTTTCTGTTGTAGTTCTTGCACTTTTTGGAATTTCAATGGCTTTACCCCGAGCTCATTTTTCAATATTTGCCGAATGGAATATAGCAATATATTTAGCTCACGAGCCATTTTTTGCCACTGCGATGCGGGCTTCGATCAAGTCGCCTTTTTAACTTTTCGCACCATTTCTGCTGATGTTGCTATTTTCTTCCGTCCACTTCCTTGACGTCGGGCTACGCTACCAGTATCACGGTAACGAGCGATGGTACGAGACACAAAATATTGATTCACATTTAAATACTGGAGTACTTCAACGATAGCCAATTTTGGGTTTCCAGCCAAATATAAAGAAATCACACCATCACGCATGAATTCCATTACGAATAACATTTTTTCTGAAAAACTCTCACTAAAATGCTTTGTACTCTTGTTAACAATATAATGAACTGTCACTGGAATAATTCTAACAGCCGGACGACTGGCTTAGAAATGGCAAAAGTCTGAAGTTTGTTGCAGTTATTTCGTCTTACCTTGTAATTCTTAAAGAGTGTAGGAAATTGATCATGTATTCCAAAATGTATTTTAATTGAACAAACCAAATAGGATTCGAATAGTAGGTATTTACTAATAGGAGATTAAAAGAAATCTGTACCGATTTTGAAAAAAAAATAGTAAAGCTATATTGGGTATTATGTACCATATATAATTGTTATCAAGTGCATGCTATGGCTTTGAGAAGGCTTAAATATCAAATCAGATAAAAAGTCATAACAAATCGTAGTGATCCGATTATTATTTTAATTATTATTTTAACAAGAGCCTACAAGTAGAAGTAGTTGCTGCAAAAAATACATATATTTTTTCTTGTTTGTAGTCAAGGAATTACTACTTATTTCCACAGAAAAATGTCCTTCTTAAAATTGAACGTTAGGTATCCGACTTGTAATTTCGCTTTGAGGCTATATGCAAACCAATTATCACAAAATTTAAATTATATGAATGCCGCATATAAAAAAAAACTGTCATGATTATCATCAATTTTACTAGAATTCGTTTTCGAGCCAAAAAAATAAACTTTGTAAAGTTATACCTTAAAATGGACAAGAAATTTAAGAAACTTGAACCTTCATGGACATGTCATAAATAGATTTAGAAATTTATTCCATGGAGATCACCAAAGGATATGTGGAGCTATTTGAACATATTTTTTTGTTCCCCTTTTTCTTGCACAATATGGTGCTTTATTATTTATTTTTTTCAAAAAAAACCAGTTGCATTTCAACTTTTATTACCCCAGTAATCATTTCTAAAACTCTTAACTAAAGATGTGGTAAAAAGTTATCAGTCGAGCCCGTAAAATTTTATTTATTTATTTATATTCAATTAACACAGTTACCTAGCCCATAGGGCCATGGACGGTTCCAAAAACTTCTATACATGACTACTGAAATTATTAAAAGCTACAGATTTTTTTCGCCTTTCATTCTTTCTTTGAAATTGACATTTCTAAATAAAATTGTGACCAAAAGAAATTAAAAAACTAATCCCAATTATTAGTTACTTCATCTACACAACAAGCTTTCTTAAGAAACATGGAGGCTATATTACACAAAAAAAAAAAAAAAAAAAAAAAAAAACAATCCCAATTTAAATAAACATAAGGGCCAAAGTGTAGTGTCTAAATTTCTATAATTGACAAACACTAATGACAGCCAAAACAAAGGCAGCACAAAAGCAACATATTTTCCCTTAAATAAACAAACTGATTGCTGATAAAGAAACCTGGCAGACGGTCAGGCGTTTTAGTGGCGAACAAATACCACCAAAAAAAAGCGGAAAGTTTGTTTCAAGTAGCGGCCGGCTGAAAAAAAGCCCCAAATCATTAGTTTATTATGGCGATAACCTTTGGTGACCAGCGGCAAATCGGCTTGTTAAGTGGCCGGTGACAAAAGAAATTACACAACGATTTTCAAGTGAATTTTAGTTTTTTGGTCGTTGTTCTTTTTATTTTTTTTTTTGTCAGCTGGCCTTCATTTAATTTTTTCGGAATTACAAAGCTTTTACACGTCACACAAAATTTGAACTGATTTCATTTTGTTTTTGTGTTTTTTTAGTTGAGGGCAAAATAAAGGCGCCATAAAGTAATTGGCTTGCAAATCATTTCACTAAAATCATAAATTATAATAAAAATATCACGAAAAATAAACAATAATAATTATTATTCATATTCTGGTTTAAATTGTTGTGTCTTGTTGTTCAAATTGTTGGAGAGTTTCATAAGGCCATCAAAATATGTTGTTTTTTTTTTCTCCTCTTGAAAAAAAAAAACTGTCTTGGCATGGTGTTGCTGCCCCGCATTTTTTCCAATTTTTTTTTGATGGTGTTATATTTTCAAACCTAGCCAGTAGTTGCCGCGGCGATAATAGAAACGGTCGTAATTAAATTTTGGTTTTTTTTTTTTGGCACATGTTTCTCATGCATTTAATGGCTTCAGCGTATGTCTCAGTATGTGATAATGATCGTGTTTTTCGATATTATGATCCATTTTGACATGCGATCTATTACAAGCTAATTTATGATATGAGGCGAAAATATTGTGGACGCAAATCGAATATGAATTTGGCTGATGATAATATCGACACACACACAAACGATGGCAACAGAAATTCGCTTAATTTTTCATATTGATTTAAAAAAACTGAATCAGTTCTGGTGTTACTCTTAAATATTATTTTTTTTTAAC